AGAACTTCCCACAGACGGCGCCAATATGATGGGTCTACTTCTAGATCTGGAGTAAACCGGTTGCTATGAGCTCAGATCTGCTTGAACCGCTTCTCAACCGTTGCTAGACCGCGAGATTCCTGCAAAAACTCAATGCCGGAGGTGTTTCCGGCATAGAGCCTCCGACGCTCAAGTCAGTATGAGAGTGATGAAGAGATGCTGCGCAGCAGCTATGGGGGAGAGTGGGAATGAATGAGAGTTAGGGTTTTGGGGGTTACCTCATCTCCTTTATATAGGAGGGAACACTTACTTGAAGTGCCCAAAATGCCCAAGTCGGTGGACCTAGAAGGTCCAAAATGCCCTGGTCGATTCGTCTCCCCTTGTTACTGAGTCACCACAAGATTCTTTCTTATCCTTTGCAATATGTGGAACTTCAATTATGCTGCAAGTATGATGAATCGTCACCATGTTCTCGGCCTTGAGGCATAAGAAGTCGACCTCGAGTACTGGGAGGTCGACTCATGATCATATGAGTATCCGGAGGCTACGCTTTATCGTTCTTTTGGGTGGAAATCATCTTCAGAGAATCGTCTTAGCGAGGTCGACTTCTGAGAGTCGACTTAGAGTATCTGGATGCTCGGAAGTTATGCTTTTGCTGTTCTTCCGCTATTGGTATCGACTAGCGAAAGTCGATAGGCTAAAGTCGACTTCTGCGAGTCGACTAGGCTGATTCCTGTCTCGTCTTGATTGCTCTCTATAGAATCGACTTTAGGGAAGTCGATTTGGACATGTCGACGTAGTCATGTCGACCTGCAAACTATTCGAATGGTTCACCGGTCGAGTAAGAAGCCTCTGGACTGGGTTATCCTTATGTGGCTATATCACATTCCTTTTGAAACAACCAACCATTTCTTGTTTTCCACATCCACCACAGAATGTAGGTGGACAAGGAAATCCTATCTTTTCCATTATTAGCCAATTTTATATGACATAATTCCCCCCACCAGTCCTGAAAATTCACCCTCTCCCCTTGCAATCTGTCCCATTCCAGCCCAGCTACCTTCCACATTGTCCTAGCTCTTCCACAGTTAAACATTATATGCTCAATATCCTCTCTTTCTTCTCCACACCAACCACGTATGCCATCAACTTCCATCTCTCTCCTCTCCAGGTTACACATAGTACTTAAGCAATTATGAAAGCATCTCCAGATAAAGGTTTTAACCTTATGTTTTATTGGCAGCTTCCATGTGTGTTGCCACATCTTTTCCAACTGGTGGCTCCTGGAACTTCCTTCTGCCTGACTCATGCCCTCTCTTCTCTTCTGTTGAATGGTTTGGTATGCACTTTTTACTGTAAACTTCCCTTCCTTATTGTAATGCCATACCAACCTGTCCGTGATACCCATCTTACTGGTTTGTATGTTGAGGATCAATGTCGCATCATGTGGATTGAAAGACTGTTGCACTAGCTCTGTATCCCATTCATAAGTTCTTGCCTTCATTAGGTCTGCCACCTTGCATAGTCTCATTTTATCACCTGGAAAAGGGCATGCAGGTTTGAAATTGTGATTATTAGGGATCCATGGTGAGTCCCATATGTCAATGGACTTCCCATTACCCACTAAATACCTACATCCCAAGCTCAGAGACCTCCTAACTTCAAGCCACCCCTTCCACATCCATGAATCAGTATCTTTTTTCCTAACCTCCATCAGATTTTGGTTGTGAAAGTACCTACCCTTTATCAGTCTGCTCATCAGGATATTAGGCTTGGTTAGAACTCTCCAGAGCTGTTTAACAATCAATGCTTCATTAAAATCCTCAAAGACTTTGAAACCCAACCCCCCAGATGTTTTTGGTTCAGCCATTCTAGACCACATCATCCAATGAATTTTTTTCCCAGCCTCCCCTGTTTTAACCCCGCCAAAAATTTGTAATTTGTTGGCAAATCTCCCTGCACACTCCCATAGGTAATCTAAAGACTAACATCACATAAACAGGAAGGGCAGAAAGAATTGTTTTGATTAGAATCTCCCTCCCACCCTCACTCAAAAAAGTGTTCTTCCAGTTATTAACTCTAGCTATCACACACTCCTTAACAAAAGAGAAAGTATCTCTCTTAGATCTGCCCAACCCCAAGGATAAACCAAGATATTTAGAATACCTAGCAATAGCCACCCCTCTGAATATAGAACACACATCAGCCTTCATCTGCTCAGATGTATTTTTAGAAAAGAATATACTGGACTTATTAAGGTTAATAGCCTGTCCAGAAGCATCACAATATTTTTGCAAAAGGTGCAGCAACATCTCAGCATGATTAGTGTCAACTTGGCAAAAAATAATGGCATCATCAGCAAAAAACAAATGAGAGACAGTGGGAGAGTTTCTACTGATTTTGAGGCCATTGAAAGAGTTAAGCACACAAGCTCTATGAATCAGATTAGACAAAACTTCAGACACTATAATGAATAAATAAGGGGACAGAGGCCACCCTTGTTTCAACCCTCTAGATGGAACCACATGACCCATAACAGACCCACTGAAATTAAATGAAAAAGATGAAGAACTGATGCAAGCCCATATCCAAGACAAAAACATCTCACAAAAACCCATTCTCCTACAAACCCTAATAATAAAACTCCACTCCACTCGATCATAGGCTTTTTCTATATCTAGCTTAAGAGACAAAATTCCTTTTTTGCCTTTTTTTCTACTATTTATATAATGCACACACTCACTAGCAATAATGAAGTTATCTAATATCTGTCTCCCAAGCACAAAGGCTGCCTGAGATTGAGATATGCAACCAGCAATAACATCTTTAAGTCTGGTAGCCAAAATTTTAGCCAAAATTCTATATGTAACTGTACATAAGCTAATGGGCCGATAATGAACAACAGATTTGGGGTTTATAATTTTTGGAATAAGAGTCACCACAGTGTGGTTTGAGGCTTTTTGGATGCAACTGGAGTTCAAGAAGTTAGACACAGCAGAAATCAAATAATTTTTAATAATGTCCCAGTTGGACTGAAAAAATAGAGGAGAGAATCCATCTATACCTGGAGCTTTTCCTGGATCCACAGCCCATACAGCTGCTTTAATCTCTTCCTCAGATGCAGGTTTTGTGAGACTTTGTTCATTTCAGCTGAAATAGGTACAGGAATGCCTTCAAGTACTTCCTCATCATAGATTGGTTGGCCTGACTTGAAGAGTCTCTCAAAGAACCCCACCACTTTGTCCATAGATTCTGATCTATTTTGACATTGCTCCCCATTCATCTTCACCAAGAAATCCAAACAATTCCTTTGTCTCCTCTGCCTAACACAAGCTTGGAAAAAACTTGTGTTTTTATCCCCCTCCTTTAGCCACTTGACCCTGGCTTTTTGCTTCCAATATGACTCCTCTAATTGATATGCTTCATGCACTGCAGTCTTATATTCTCCTCATTCTTGCCAATCTAGATCCCCTCCTTGCTGGCCAAGCTGTTCCAGTTTAGCATTGCAAATTTTGATTAACTGGCTAGCATTTGTTCTTTGCTTGGCAGCCCACCCCAGCAGCCCAAACTTGACATCTCTAAGCTTCTTTTGAAATCTGTACAGCCCCTGGCCATTATTGCTAATGTCCCAGGAGTTCTGAATACACTCAGTATACCCATCCATACAAGTCCATCTGTTGTCAAACATGAACCTCTGTTTATGGTGCTTAGGCTCCTGAACATTTTCCATTATCAGCATGTTGTGATCTGAAGACACCACCTGGAGATTTAACACTTTGGCATCTGGGAAATTGAGCATCCAGAACTTCTAATATCATTGAAATCCCCCCCTATGAACCATAAATCTCCCCATCTAAGACTGTGCCTAGTAAGTAGCTCCCATTGGGTCTGTCTCTCAGAAGGGTTGACACTGGCATAAACAAACACTGCCCACAAAGCATCATTGACTCCTTGACAAGAAAACTTAACTTCTATACTGAAAACATTATTGATAATCTCAATCACAGAAATTTATCTGACCAACCCAACAAAAGCCCACCCTTAGCCCCTACAGAATCAGTACAAACCACCTAGAATCTAAATGCAAATTTTTACAAACAGTAGATATAAAAGCATTTTTCTTTTTGGTTTCAGAAATAAAGAGAAAATCTGGGAGGTAGGATTTACACTTCTCCTTCAACTGGAAAATTGTAGAGGGTCCTCCCAAACCTCTACAATCCCACACCAGAACTCTCATTTTAAACCTTGGGACCAGTTATGACTGGTTGCCTTCACCATCTTTTCAGAAACAGTCTCAGACTTTTTGGATTTTTTGGGAATAGAATCACAACAAGCATCTTCAATGACAACAGTTTCAAAAACTTTTCTTTTTAATGATATATGATCACTAGTATCCTCTGTTAAACTCACAAGTTGCTTATCAGACTGACCAAGGATTTTATTGTCTATCCCTTTACTTCTAGTGACCCTCACAAAAGCTTTTTGATTTTTGGGTTTGGCTGATTGAACAAGGACTTCCACTAAGTTATCATCTTCTCTATTGACCCTTTTATTGATGTCCAGATCCATAGGAGCCACTAGACTAGCAGTCTCACTACCCTTTGCCACCTACCCTCCAACAACTTCATCTAGAGATTTTACTATCCCTACTACATTCTCATTAAGAGATTCTTTTGGAATATCAACCCCCTCACCTCTTTTCTCCCCCCCCGAACACTTGGTGCAATCATGTGGTGTGATCATGAGGAGATCATATTCTGCAATTATATAATTTGATTATAACTGTATTATCTGATCTAATATGAAATAAAAATGATTAAAAATAGCTTAAGAGAAAAGTATAATATATTCTAAGGTGAGAAAGTTGTATTTCTCAGCGTGGATATGCAACTCCAACACACCAACCAAATCAGCACAATCACTTTTGGGTATGAATGAATAGCAGTCAACAGAAGTTGACTCATTCTAATATGGAATCTAATTTCAGTCAATATACTCAATATCGCCAAGCAGCACAGCAATTAAGCAAACAGGAGAAGGCTCGGCAGAACAATTAGAACAGTAATCCCCACCAATTTTTTACCATCTCCGGTTGCGGAACCAGATATTTCAACATTGTACTTCATGCTCATATTGTTGTACATAATCCCCCAATTCCCCCTTGGACCCATTGCAGTACTGTTGTTGTCGCTGCTCATATCACTTTCATCAAACAGTTGATAGATGTGTACCTCAGCCGCACCGTCTTTTCTCAAAGGCGTCCCGACTCCAGATCTGAGATGTTTTACCAGCCCCTTCAAGTACATCTCGGCATAATTTCCGGCCAACTCTGCCTCGCCGTCGCTCGGCCACCCTGTCTCAGCCACAATCACCGGGATATTCTCCTGACCGGAGACCGCCATGGCTGCTATGACAGCGTCGACCATCATGTCGAACAAATTCCGGTATCTAACTCCTGTTATCACATCGTCGCGGAAATTGAAAGGATATTCCTGGAAAAGCAAAAAGCCGATCGGGATCTCGGAGTTGATTGTGTAGATTCTATAGGGATAGAGGTTGATTAGGAAGGAGGAGTTTGTTTCCGATAAGAAGTGAAGTAGCGGGCGGATGAGCAGGGAGCCGATTGGTTCCTGGAACTCGGCGGCGGAAGGCGGGAACGAGGTCGTCATGATGTCGATAAAGGAGAAGGTGGTGGAGACGGGGATGGACCGGATGCCGAGGTCAATGAGCGCGGAGCGGAGGTTGCGCATGGCAGGGAGGAGGTCGTGGACTGGATCGGAGGCGGCGGCGGTGGTGGTGATGACGTCGGAGCCGACGGAGATGACGGAGATGCGCGTGCGGGGGTGGTAAGGGAGGACGTGGGAGTAGAGCCAGAAGGTGGCGGAGGAGCGATTGGCGGCGAAGGAGGGGATGAGATGGTTGGGAACGGAGAGGAGGAGGCTGATGTTGGTGTAGGCAAAGGCGCGTACGGCGGCGGGGGTAGGGTCGACGAGGCGGACAGCAGGGACGCGGAGAGAGTGGAGGGAGGAGACGACGAGCTCGGGGGATGGGAGATTGGGGGCGGAGGGTTTGTAGGTGACGCCGAGCGTGGTGGGCGCGGCGGCGATGGGGGATACGAGGAGGAGGGCGACGATGGTGCAGAGAAGGTCGAGAGAATGCATTTTCTCTTTCTTCGCCTGACCAAATTCTGTATGGCGTGTGATGTGAAGGGAGTGAGTTTTGCACAGCGGTTATTTTGTTGTTTGGGGGAAGGATTAGCTGTGCGCGGGGGCAGGGGATAAACACAGGAGACGCATCACTCATTAATTGCGTAATATTGTGACTTCAACTTATGATTAAGGAAAATGCTACATACTAGCCTTTTTCCCTATGATTAAACTAAGCTGTACTACAACAACACAAAACCACAAAACCGTTGGATATTTTGTTAAAACTAGCATGTTTGTTTATAAAAATTTTTGGTTTTGTTTGAATTTTTCGATTTGGTTTGGTTAATTTTGAGAAAGGTGGTATGATTAGTTGTTAGTGGTATATTAAAATAATATTTAAAATAAAATAATTAAAATTGATTTGATGTAAAAGTAGAAGAGAGAGATTTGAAGTAATGATTAGTTAAAATAATGTGGAGTAGATGAATAGTGAATTAAGGTTGATGTAGTGTGTATGAATGATTGTTTGATATTATTTAATTATATTGATAATTTTGATGGTAATAGGATTGAATTAAAATTGAGTTAAAAAAAAATAGTTGAGTTAAAATGTTGGATGGGTTTTGATATGAAATCCCTATATTTATTTTTTAAGTAAGATTGGTTCTTCTACAAATTCTTTTGCTATGCACTCTCCCTACCTTTAATTATTGTTTATTCAAAATTGGCTCCCACCTCCTTTGGAAACACAAGATCACCGTGAAAGTTTGTATAGATAAGAAATGATACATTTTACGAAATAAACGCCATATGAAGCACACAGTTATTTGTGATTCTCAAAAGACTATTGCAACTCATATGGTGGATTATTATTCTTCCCTATTTGCATTTGAAGGCTCTGCAGGTGGAGAGGAGCTGCTACAGCATATTTCACGCTCCATATCTGCAGATACTAATAACAAGCTCATTCAGCCAGTTGATGAGATGGAGATTAAAGCAGCACTGTTCAAGATGGAATCTGACAAGGCACTAGGGGAGGATGGTATGTCTGCCTCTTTCTTTAAGCATTTTTGGGATATTATTAAAGTGGATTTGTGTAATGCTATTAAAAGCTTTTTTCAGTTCTGGAACATTACACAAAAATTGGAAGCACACAGTTATTACTCTTATTCCAAAGTGCTTGTATCCAGAATCTTTAAGTAGTTACAGACCTATCTCTCTTTGTGGTGTGCTGTACAAAATTGTTGCCAAAGTGCTTGCTGAGAGGCTTAAGTTGTGCCTAAATTATTGTATTAGCCCTGCACAGACTGCTTTTGTTCCTGGGAGGAATCTGTTGGATAATGTTTTGATAGCCCATGAGGTTTTCCATTTTTTGCATAGACATAGGTCTGGGTCTCATGCGTTTATGGCAGTTAACTTAGATATGGAGAAGGCCTATGACAGGATGGAATGAGACAACATTAATAAAATCATGCATAAAATGGGTTTCCATGGCACATTCATTAAATGGATACTTAATTGCATCTCTTTCCCTACTTTCTCTTTTAATCTGAATGGGAAGAATTGTGGTTTTGTCAGAGCTTCTAGGGGGATCAGGCAGGGTGATCCCCTTTCTCCTTATTTATTCATTCTGGTTTCAGAGGCTCTATCTTCTTTTTTACATCATGTCATCAGTGTTGGTCAGTTCAGAGGTATCAAGATTGCAAAGAATGGGCCTATGCTCTCACATTTACTATTTGCAGATGATGCTTTGGTGTTTTGCAAGGCAGATAATTCTCATGCTTTGCTGTTAATGGATATCCTGCATAAATATCAGTGCTTTACAGAACAAAAGGTTAATTTGCGTAAATCATCAATGTTTCTGAGCAAGAATTGTGGGACTGATATGAGTAGGAAAATCTGTTCTGTTCTAAGGGGTGTGGTGGTGAAAAGATCTTCTAGATATCTTGGCCTTCCTTTAGGCGTTGGATCTTCTAAGAAGGAGGCTTTTCAGTTTGTGGAGGATTCTGTTAGAGTGAGAATTGAAAGTTGGAAGAATAATCTTTTGTCTACAGCTGGTAAGGAGATTTTGATCAAATCTGTGTTGCGGGCTCTTTCTATTTTTGTCATGTCATGTTTTATGCTTCCTGTGGGTTTGTGCAAGACTATCTGCAGCTTAGTTGCTAAATTTTGGTGGAGTAAAGGGGGTTCTCAAGCCTCTTGTTTGCATTGGAAATCATGGGAAAAAATGGTTACTCCAAAGCTTGATGGTGGACTGGGGTTTCTGGATATCAGACTCATGAACAAAGCTCTTATCCTGAAGCAATTGTGGAGACTTGTAGATCAGCCTGACCTACTGGTTAGTCAAGTTCTTAGAGGTAAGTATTTTCCTTCTTGCTCTATCTTGGACTGGAGACAAACCAGTAGTAATTCATGGTTGTGGAAATCTTGGACTGCTTTACTGCCTGTTCTCAAAGACCATATGAATATCATTATTAAAAATGGGGCTAGCACTAAGCTGAATGATCACAATTGGGTCCCTGGGTTGGCTGGAGGGAAACCTGAGCTCAGAATCCTTATTGATAACCATCTGTTCTGGGTTAAGGACCTTTTGATTGCAGGAGGGTGTAATTGGGATACTAATCTGGTAAAAGCCATTTTTGTTGCTGAGGATGCTGAGAAAATATTGCAAATCCAGACTTTGAATCCAAGGACAGCTGATTTGTGGAATTGCTCTTTTGTGGCTAATAAGAAGTTCTCAGTCAAAAAAGCTTACTCATTGTTGATTGTTGGGAGTTCAAATACCCATGATGAGGCTGAGAGCAGTACAATGGCTGAGGGGAATAGAAAAGCTAGATCAAGATGCTGGAACCTCAAAGTGATGGGTAAGGTGAAACTCTTCATTTGGAAGTGTTTCTCCAATATCCTTCCTGTCAGCACTAACCTAGTTTCCAGAGGCCTTGACATTGATCCTCTCTGTAAAGTCTGTGGGGAAGCTGTTGAATCTCAAGAGCATGTTTTGTTTCAGTGTCCCAGGGCAGTAAAAGTTTGGCAGATTTCTCCTGTGCAGTGGAATAGAGTTCACCAAGAACATCTTACCTTCAAACAGTGGTGGTGGTGGATCAGTAGTATGGACTTCAAAGATACATCAGCAGAGAGAATCCAACTATCCACTTACATATTATGGTGGCTCTGGAAAGCAAAGAACATCTGGGTTTTCTAAGGCCATCTGCAACCAGAGAGGTGGATCATAAAGGCAGCACTGAGGGACTTGCTTGATTTTGATGGCACCAACTCATGAACTTAAATGGCAGGAACTAAAATGGAGCTAGGCTGTTTGGCAGTGGTTTTACTTTTAGTTTTTGGCTTATGTTCATTAGCTGTATCTGTTGGTTGTGTTTGGGTCATTTGTACTGTGTGTGTCACATGTCTGTTGGAGTGGTTTGATTTATGTAGGTTCCTTTGGTGTTTGTTCATTTGGCTCGGCTAGGTTGCAATTGTATTTGCATGGCCTCTCAGTTACGCAGGCAGACTTTGATCATTTGTACATTACCATTTTATGGTTTTATGAATAGAGCATGCTATGTCGTTGGAAAAAAAAAAGAACTTAATTACTTTTATTAATTACTGAATGGGATATTANTTAGAAAATTATAAATTTTATTTCAATCATTTAGGGTTTGGAAGGAGATGAGATGGGTCATGGGCATTATGGCAATGGTAGTGGGTAATGGAGGTGGGCTGCAATTTTTTTATGTTATTGGGTGTTACTATTCACCGCCCTCCTATTACTATGTACCGCCCCCTAGACCATTTTGCCCCTGTCATTTTTTTCAAAAAACTCAGAAAATCGTAAATTCTCTGATCAGGCGATTTCACGTGAGAAAATGTCGTCCGACGAGGTGCGGTTTTGGTCGGCCGACCGGCTGAAAATCGGTTCACCTTCTTCCTCCTCGCTAGTAGAACGTCGCGTACCTGAAAAGAACTCTCACACCAGAGGGGTTTTCCGGTGAAATGCCTCTGATGCTTAAGTCAATGTATGTTCTACTCAATTCTTAAGAGTAAAGTGGATAAATCATGCTCAAAATGTAAAGCTCACCTCTATATATAGGGGTGGGGTACTTGCTTCTAGAGGCTGGCCGGATTTGCTGAGTTGGTTTCCCAAAGCTGCCCAAGGCCTGCCCGTTCGTACACACACAGTGTGCGTGTGTCAGAGGCGGTTATCGCCATACACCAATCATGCCACGCCATGTGTTCTCCACACATGGATTAAAGATTCCTCTGAAATCCCGTCGAAGGCTCTTATGCTCGATTCCTCTAAAATCTCGTCGAAGGCTCTTATGCTCGACCGTGTTTAGGGCAATCCTCAGACTGCTCATAGTTCGTGAGGTGGTCGATCAAACGACCCTTTTGCTCGACAGGTAGATCCTCGACCAGATCCTCCATAGACCTAGGATCGACTTGTACTCCTCGTATTGGGGATCCTCCGTGGTGTTCGACCATAACCACTCTGTTCGATACTGTTCGGCCAAGATGGCCTGTTCAGTTTGCTTGACTCGTTCGATCGGCCTAGTGGACTAGTTTACTCCTTTAGCTATAATATCCCATATCAAACCATTTGTTTCATGCCGCGACCTTTTGCATATCCTTATTTTAAATAAGAATTGGAAAGTTTGATCCAAGTTCCCTTACCTCCATTGCATGCTGAATTTTCCAGATAGCAGACATGGTTTTCTTCACCACTAACAACCCTGCTCTTCCAACCCCGATTATTTTGCCAAAATGACTTATTCTACACTCCTCTGGACTTGCCTTAATGTCCTTGACACAATCTCTATCTCCCATTATTCTTTTGCCGAGAGAGAACAACTTTTCAACTTTCGAGCTATCTCTTCTTCCCCCTCACTTGAAATTGGCGAATCTATAGCTCTATCTACCTTAACTCCAAAAAAATGCACCATCCCCCAAACTCCCCTTTTGAAAACCCCCAAACAAAAAAACCCTAGAAGAACAAAATATCCAACCCTCAACAC